GTGGGGGATACTTTGAGGCACCTGGTTATTATTAGACAGCACGTGGTGGATTCCAAAGAAGGAGGAACAATTTCTGTGGACTTTGGATTATTATATATAGTTTTTGTATTCACAGTAATTCACTGATAACATTTTATTGATTTATTCACATTTTATTGTGTTGCACGGCACTACCTGCCTGCAGTTTGCATGTTCTCCCTGTGCCTGCGTGGGTTTCCTCTGGGTACTCTGGTTTCCTCTCACACTCCAAAGACATGCTGGTAGGTTAATTGGATCCTGATGGTGCTATTAAAGTACCATAAATAAATGAAAGTCGCAATGGAAATTGCACAACTTTAGAGTCGCAGAAGTGTGACTGAAGCCTTGGACATTGCATACTTTTTAACCTCTTGGCGCCGGCCGCACGCAAATGTGCAGCCTCTCAGTGTCTGGGCCTTGACGCCAAGCGGCCGCACATTTGCGTGCAATTAAGAAAAACATATTTGCTGAGAGCACGCGCCCTGCGCGCTTCCAGCACACATGTCCGGTTCTCATGGAAAGGTCCCGATCTTCTCTTTCGATCGGGACCTTTCCCGATCATGTGACCGCCGTGACGGTGAATCACAGCAGTCACATGACCCTAAAACCCTACCTCCTGGCTTCTGAAACCCTTAAACGGCTGGAAGTCGATGGCACCAAGGGGTTAAACATAAGGTGGCATCCTTCCTTCAAAGGTGAACTCCAGGTATGATTTCTTTTTATTGCACAGTTACCTTGGTTCAGCTTGGCACAATGTAAACCATTCACATCTCATTCCTGAGTGATCACTGTGAAGGCAGCAAATCCCTGTGGTGGTCTGTGCTACTACAGTGATAGGTCCTGTGCCATTCACAGAAATCCTTGTATTTTTTAAAAGGCATTCTTTGTTTGGACGAAGTTCCAGCCCCTCCCTACAACCTGGTCCAATCAGAGAGTGTCTTTTATCCATTACAAACGACATCACCGACCTGATATCCAAATACCACCCAAAACGTACTCTCCGCTTCTCACAAGACCTCCTTCTCTCTAGTTCCCTGGTCTCCTCCTCCCATGCCCGCCTCCAGGACTTCTCCAGGGCTTCCCCCATCCTCTGGAACTCCCTACCCCAATCCATCAGACTTTCACCTACTCTCCTCTCCTTTAGACGCACCCTGAAAGCCCACCTCTTCAGGGAAGAAGAGAGAAAACAGGTGGCGCACACACCTAGTGCATTATCCAAGGTTTATTGTAGGAATTAAATCATAAAAACATACTCACAGATGAAGCATGTATCTAAAAAGCATAGAAAAATGACAATGGCCACAATGGCGGGCAAGGTGTTCTCACTGTCAGTGCATATCCTGAGGCGCTGGAGAGTACATACACCTCTTCGGGGAAGCCTACCCCACCCTCAGCTAATTGCCGATCTCCTCCACTCTTCCTACCACTCCATCCCCCACAGCTATTCCTCCCGTACCCCTATCCCCTCCCTCCTAGATTGTAAGCTCCAAGGAGCAGGGCCCTCGAACCCCTCGTGTATCGCATTGTATTGTTATTGTACTGTCTCGTGTATTGTCTCCCATTGTAATGCACAGCGCTGAGCGAACTGCTGGCGCTATATAAATACTGTATAATAATAATAATTACAAAAAAATACAAGGCGTGCTGTGAAGGGCGATCCCTTGAGGTCACTATGCAGAAGGACAGCAGGAACTTGAAAACCGCTGCTATCAGTGTAGTAGCACTGACTACTACAGTGATTTGCAGCTTCCACGGTGATTGCTCAGATATGAGATCTACATTATGCCCAGCTGGACCAAGGTGAGTATGCAGTAAAATCATACCTGGAGATCATTTTTAATGCTACATTACATATTTTGTATATATGTATATTTTTTGTTGTAAAGAGTGTGACATTCATAATATATGAGCGGTAAGTCAGGGCACTGGTTAGGTAGACAGTCTCAGAATATTGAGAAATCCTGCTGACACTTTTTGATTATTTTACCCAATTCTTCACCCCATATCATACTGATCAAGAGGATTCCTTGTATTGGTGGTCTCATTGTGCAATAACCAGCGATGATTTCTCTTTCCATTTGTGTACTATCATGCTAGCTATTATGTTTTATTTGTATACCTCTATTACTTTTCTCTGCCATTATCCCAGTAAACGGTAACACGTACAGTTAATACTTATATGTTAATGTTTTTATCTGACTAAGGTTTTTTAAATCTGTTCCGCCAGGCTTGTGATCTACACTTCTCTGTTAGGCTGCTTTCACACTGATCTGTTTTTTCTTATGCCTTTATGTTAAAAAAATGTTGAAGAGAAGCGTGTGACTATGTATTCCTTTGGAACTCTTCACACTGAAATGCTGGAGGTCCGGTGCAGGGGCGGACTAACCATTTGGAAACTTGGACACCGCCCGAGGGCCCGGGGGGTCAGTAGGGGGCCCCATGAGATGCCCCTGGTACCTTTTTCATAGGCTTTTTTGAGGCAAGGACACAGGGGCCCCATGATCCCCTATTGCCCGGGGGCCCCATGAGTTGTCAGTCCGCCCCTGGTCCGGTGCATTCTTCAAAGTCCTGCTTGCTGCATTTTTGGTGCAGTAAAAAAAAAAAATGCATCAAAAACACACCCATGTTGCGTTTTTGGTGCGGTTTTTGAATCACATGTCCTTGCATGCACTGCAAACACAGTAAAAAAGCGGCAAGAACACAACAACAATGTGTGAAAGTAGCCTTATACTGAATAGCAAGCACGGTGACACCTCTATTTCTTGGTTCAGCTTTGCAGCTTCCTTTGTCACCCCTCCAAGCGAGCACTGGGTGGTGGTGGTCGGGGGGATTTTAACCCAGGGCCAGTAATAAAAATGTTATAATAATATTAATATTAACAATAACTCCAAATTAATTAATTAATTTAATTAATATTAGATACATTAGTAATAATAATTATTATTGTTAATTATTAATATTAATTATTATTTAGGGCTGGTAGCCCTGAATGTAGTTGCTTCACCATTGGTCAGAGTAGGACCTATAGTCACAACAGCTACTGGGCATTATCCAGCCACTAGAGTTGGGCTTGATTTCCGAGTCGAACATAAGTTCGATTTGAACATCGGCCGTTCGTGTGTTTCGGTGATTCGCCCTCCTGCTCCCCACAATGCACTGCGCCCTGACAGTGCATTGTGATTGGCCAAAGCAATGCACCTGACCACAGGTCAGGTGTAATGCTTTGGCCAATCACAGCGCATGGTGACGTCACAAGCAGGCGAGATGAACCCGCCCCATTGTGACATCATCACAGTATTTAAGAACTGTCATCCCGGTGCAGCTGTCAGGCAGCAGGAACAAGCGTCGAAAGCAGAGCAGTTTTTTTTTCTTTCTCTGGGTCGGCAGTGACGGCGGGCATCGTAGTTGATTCTGGATCTACTTCGGGGAACATTCTTTTTTTTTTTTTAATAATAACTTGTCAAAGACTGTCTACTGTAATTTTTTACACTACACTTTTTTTTTTGTGAATGAGTAGTGGTACCAAGTACCCCATACTCATTCACATGGGTGTCCCCTTGTTAAAGGGGGCTTCCAGACTCCGACCGCAGACCCCCAGGACCACAGGCCAGGGTTGTGGGGAAGAGGCCCTTGTCCCCATCAACATGGGAACAAGATGCTTTGGGGGGAGGAGGGAGCCCCCCCTGCTCCAAAGCACCACCCATGTTGAGGGCATGTGACCTGATATGGTTCGGGGGTTGCTCGCTTGTCCCCCCCCTTTCCTGACCTACCAGGCTGCATGCTTGGATAAGGGTCTGGCATGGATTTTGGGGGGCCCCCATACCATTTTTTTTTTACATTTTCTTTTGAGGGTTCCCCTCAAAATCCATACCATAATTTTTTAAATTTTTTAATTGCCCAGTAATGCCAGCAATTTTTTTTACATTCAGGTGTCAGGGGAACCCCGCTGACAGATTAAACAATAAAGAAAGTGTCACTACTAAAATATCGCATGACTTAATAATATAACTCATGTAGTTTTTTTTGTAGCTGTGTATTATTATATTGCATACTCAGATGTGGGAAGATACTGCTTAGTCAATTGTCTCTGTTTAAAGTTTGTGGTAGAACTTTCGTTAGGTTCGAATGTTCGACCTCGAGCCAAAGTGGGGATGTTCGGCTTATCACTACCAGCCGCCTTGCTCAGATCTGCAATCACAGAGTCTGGCAGAAAGGAATCTTCCTTTGCTTTTCTGATAGATGCTAGAAGATGTGGAAAAGCATGTAACAAAACTTTTATCCTGACTACCAATCACCATGGCACACTTTGGGCTTGTTCCCATGTGTGGCAGTGCATGCCACTCCTCTAAAAAGCGATTTGCAGTGGGTCAGCCTTCAGAGACATTTGACAGACAACTGCTTTGATTCTAAAAATGTTGACCTACCGTGCCTCAACTGCCCCCATTCACTTGATGCAAAGATTTCCGACCATGATGTGAGTCAAGTCATGCCTTTGTTTAGGTGGGTGGACTAAGGGCGGTAAAACCAAGGTCAACTGTCTGCTTTTACTGTCCCCAGCCACCTGTGTGATTGAGCCCTTAGCCTGGTACACTTTATTTAGCCCACAGAAATCTGTCCTCACCGGGAATGGGCTGGTTGGCAGTGTTTGCCACCCATGCCAATGGTTTTCACTCCTCCCCTGCACCTCTCTGCTGCCTCCAACCTGTTCAATAGACAGTGGATCAGCATAATCACACCGCTGATTTACTGTACATTGGGAAGGTAGGTGACACAGGAAGCTGCAAAGCTGAGACAAGGAACAGGGGTGTCACCACTCTGGCTACTCGGTGTAGCAGAGAATCACAAGGTGGGCCGAGCAGAATTAAAAATCAAGTTGCCTACAAGACCTCATTTTACTTTCCCCACCTTCAAAGTAATTGAATAGATAGAGAAAGGGACCATAACTATTTTTTTTGTGTGCGGGGAGTTTGGGGTAGTTAATTTCACTTACAGGGTGATGCTGGTGTTGCCAGTCCTCCTTCTGGGACAATGTTGCTGGTGACAGGTTTTGTGTCTGGCAGGGGAAGGGGGACAGGCCTGGCCACGGGTGCGGGGGGTGGCAGCAAAAAGGAACCCGACATTTTCCCCTGGGCCCCGCTGCTGGGCTGCGGACAACATAAATAACAAAAGGAGAGTAAACGGAGCTCGGAACGGCCCCCTCGCCCGCACAGTCCCTAGCCCTTTCCCTAAGCCCAAAAACTGCGGGAAGCCGTGGGAATTGTCAAGGAACAAAAATGAAAAGTGTGAAAATTAAAAATGTGTTAAAAATTAAAAAAAAAATAAGCCATGTGGATACGTATTAGTATTTTTATAACAAATAAAACTAAAACTAACATGAACACATTTTTTTTCTAGATGAAATAAAAATTCTGTATTTTACATTTTGTAGTAAATTAACTCTTTACATTTAGAGAAAAGTGTGGGTGAAAATGTTAGGATGCTCAAACAAAAGAAAAATCTATAAAGTTAAAAAAAAAAGATGTAATGTATTTTTATTTGGATGTATTTACAGTATACATATGGTTGACAAAATGGAAGCAAGTAAAAAAAAAAAAGTAAATAAAATGATAAGAAGAAGCAGCACAATTTTGGTTTTAGGTGATACAAATGCAAAAGAGCTGACAATCTAATAACCTTGGAAATGCTACTATTTTTTTTAAATTTATAGTTTGAATGTAATCAATACTTTACACCATACACAAGCCTGTATGTAGCACAAAAATACAAATCTCAAAATAAACACAGCACCAACACAGACTTATATATATCAGAAATTACTGGGGTGATTTATGAAAAACGTTTTGTCGTGTACATATACTGTGGGTTCTTTCGTTTAGGTGACCAAGTCTGTAATTGCACAGTTGCTTCTACATTAAATTAAGTTTGTTGAAAAAAACTAAAATTAAAGCTGCCGTATGTCAAAGAGGTATGCAAAAATGGGGGTGTAATGAATAGCTGATTGACAGAATTAAAATAGTGACCTGGATCTTTGCACAGAATAATTCCTTTTTTTTTTTTAGACTGCTGAGCCTGTTTGGTGTCGGCATTTTGTTCACATCTTCTGGTTCTCCTGACTTGAGAAGCGCACTCGTGGAGGAACAGGCAGGATCTACATTCGAGTGACTTGCAGTGAATAATGGCCAACCTGACACAGGACTTGCCCCCGAGGTCCTGTGGATGCCTCTTGAGGTAATAGACAGGGCCTGCACCATGACCATACAGGCCAGACAGTTGGGAAAAAGGCATATGTGCAAAGCCACCAAGTGAAATTTGAAATCTGCCAGAATATTGCCTACTTATTACAGCTTTCCACTTTCAAAATGGAACCCAAGCCAACACTTTTTTGTTTTGAAGAGTTGGGAAGGAGCAGAACCTCAGAGTTTTAGACACCACAACAGAGAATTCACTTGGTTGACTCCTATATAAAATGTATCTAATTCATATGTATCTACCAGGGGCACTGCCCGAGGGCCCGGGGTCAGTAGGGGGCCCCATGAGATGCCCCTGGTACCTTTCATTGGCTTTTTCATAGGCTTTTTTGGGTGTTGGCGAGGACACAGGGGCCCCATGATCCCCTATTGCCCGGGGGCCCCGTGAGTTCTTAGTCCGCCCTTGGTATCTACATTTCAAGGGAGGTTTAACTTCACTAATATTAGTTGGATCATCTAAAGGTCTTATTACTGTCAGCCCCTGCAGGATCTTACCACCTTCACTTCACTAACCCTTGCCACTCTGTTCACCACTAGGAGCAAGAAGTACAAGCCCTTAGTAAGATCAAAATCAGAATTTATTCAGGGCAGAGGACTCTTTGTCAACCACCATGTCACTGGTGACCAAATGCCAAGCACCAGTGCTGTCATGTCTGGGGATGGGGAGAGAGTCTCACAACAGTCAGAAGTTACTAGAAGAGTGAAGGCAAGATGAGAATGTTTTTGGTTGGAATTTAAGTAAACCCGTTGCTTTGCAGTACATGGGCAAATCATAGATTCACTTCTAAACACTTTTTTTTTTGTTATGCTCCTTTTGATATGTTATTAGCTTTAGCTATAGGCATGCAGGCCCGTGCCAGGGGAGGATGCCTTCTAAGGTGGCCATGTTTGCTTCCCTCCTGTCAGTTGTTGGTTGTTAGGATGCTTTCTGCTAGGCCACACAGCATCCTTGGTTGCTAGGAGGCAGGCTGTTTCGGTTAAGATCAAATAGGCCACCCGGATCATGAACATACACAGGGATGACCATGCACTGAGGATGAAGTATGGACACTCCGGCCTCATTTCTGCTCCCCAACACACCCCCATAGGTGCCATGTGGGTCAGCCGCCTCAGTTGGCCTCATTAGCGGCACAGCCCTGAATGTATCCCTCTAGTTTTCATGCCTCCATATTACTCAGATGTTATGGATTTCTAACACGTTGACATGCAACATCCTTAATCAGCCTTTCTCAACCAGGGTTCTGTGGAAGCCTAGGGTTCCCCCAGAGGTTACCAGGGGTTCCTTGAGAACTTAGCAATTTCAGCCTCTCAGATAAGTAACCAACATACTATAAAATATGTACAGATAGGATGCCAACTACTATTGTACTAATGTACTATGAGTTGTAGATATCATATTTAATAGCAGGGGCTCCCTAAGACCAGAAAGTCATTTTGGGGGTTCCACCGCATTAAAAAAAGGTTGAGAAAGGCTGTTCTAGATAGGTAGGCCTTCATTACCATTCAACACTACACTTTTTTTTACTAAGATTCTATACAATCAGATTGAAATGACTGGACTATTAAATGAAATAAAAAAATCTTGCTGAAGTGTTGTATTAAAACAATACAAATTAAAACGTAGTGTGCATAAGGGATTGGGCCTGTTTATAATTGGCCAATGTGGTGATACTCATTCTTTACCCACCAATGAGCATAGGGGTGAGCAGTTACCAAGATTATTTTTTATCTGCTGGGAGACAAGTGAGGCCATAACTTGTCTGCACTTACTGGTGGGGAGCCTAAATCATACGACTGCCTGAACAGAATTACATTTGGCTGTTTGCCTTAAAGAGGAACTAAACTTATCGATTTAACTGTTTCTGAAAACAATTAAATTCAAGGTATGCCATGAATGATAAGTGTCACATTTGCTTTTGCCCTCAATTAAACTGTCAAGCCATCACATGGTTGGTGTCATAACTGATCACATGTGCAGCACCATGGCAACTGCAGATCAAACAGAGGCTAAGATGGCAGCTTCCTTGGCTGTAAAGTATAAGAGGGTTTAGTTCCACTTTAAAGCAGTATTAAACCCAAAAACAAAAAATGTAATATAATGCAGCTTATTAATCCTTACATATGTTGGCTGCATCTGTCTTTTTTCAGTCTTTATTTCCTTTATTTTCACCTGGTGATCCGGCCAGTAACACATCTCCTGCCTTAGGGTGTCTTCACTCTGAATGGAGGAGCAACAGAGACACCTTTGGACAGCAGCATTGTCAGTCTGGAGGGAGGGGAGTCATAGACTAGCAGATTTAGATGGACTAACAAATATAGCTGAACTCCAGATCATTTTAATCAGTTACACCAACAGTTTTTGGGATAAAGCATTTACACAAATTAATAACAGCTGACCGTTGTCAGTGGAAAACGGATTGTTTCAATCCTCTAACTGTCACTTTTACTGCTTTGTCTTAACCGCCCTAACTGCCACTTCTGATGGACAGCTTTGTCTGTTAACGGAAGTTGAAAAATAACAGACTTACTAGTTGGAACAAGAGATGAATCATTTTTTTTTTTTAAAGAAACGTGACTGAGAGAAATTCGCAATGACACGATGAGAATGTACAGCCTTGTATACTGTGTGAATCTTACTGAGGAATGCCTGGTGAACAGCGACAGATCTCACAAGCAATGAAGAGAGTTACTCACCTGCCCTGCTCCCTGTCCAGAGGTGTCTGAGCAGACAAACTGAACAAACTCTTTTAGGGAGTCCTGGCTGTGATGGTGATGATGGTAGCGTATTGTTGGGTGAGTGAAGTAAGGGCTGGACTGCTGAATAATGGACGTTGAAGGAAAGTGTATAGTAGATGCAGATGCTCTTGGGCTCCCTGAGACAAAATAGAAAAAATCAGAGCAATGAGGTTAGTTCACAAAAGGTTTATCACATGTTAATACACTTTATAATATGTCATTTGAAGGCCCAAATTATACTTCATGCCCCCTATGCCAACTGTCTTGAGCTATCCCTTTTTACCCCAGCTAATTGGCTAGCCTTTGTTTTGCGCATAGTACTGCAACTGCACTGCAACACGTTGTGCATGTGTGTCGCCATTCATTTGAACCCTATGCCGCCCAGCCCTGGCATCCCTTTAACTGGGCTATTACACCTGAGTAGCAGGAAGATCTGTCCAATCTTGTAACCAGGGTGATTGGTTATCACAGTGGTCACATGATCGGAAGCTGGTCCTGCTGGCTCCCGATCATTACTAGAGACCAGGACAGCTTGGTCACTGTGCCTGGAGGCAACAGTAAGCAGGCTCTCAGCTCAGAAACCTTTGCTGCCCATGGACGCATATGTGTGGCCTGTGGACATTAAGGCCCACCTTCTTTGCTGACACAAATATGTGTTACCCGAGTGGCAAAAGGGTAAATAGTACTTCAATGCACATGCCACATCGCACCATAATGCATGATTGTGTTGTGGCCTGTTGCCAGAGGCATAACTAGAACCTTCAGTTCAAGTGCGACCTTTGCGACCCCAGTAGTTCCGCAACTAGTGTCAGTAGTTTTTTATTTTTGTTATTTTATTTAATTTTTTAAATTATTTTTTTACCATTTTTTTTTTATTTGTCTATTACAATTTTATTTTTTAATTGTTTTTTTTTTATGTGTGGCCTGTGGACATTAAGGCCCACCTTCTTTGCTGACACAAATATGTGTTACCCGAGTGGCAAAAGGGTAAATAGTACTTCATTGCACATGCCACATCGCACCATAATGCATGATATTTGTTGTGGCCTGTTGCCAGAGGCATAACTAGAACCTTCAGTTCAAGTGCGACCTTTGCGACCCCAGTAGTTCCGCAACTAGTGTCAGTAGTTTTTTATTTTTGCTATTTTATTTTTTAAATTTTTTTTTACCATTTTATTTTTTATATTTATCTATTACAGTTTTATTTTTTAATTTTTTTTTTTTTACATTTTTAGGACCCCCATTAAGGGGGGGGGGGGCTTTGCTGAAAGATCTGGGGTCTAAACAGAGCTCTGATGTTTTACCTTTGAGACAGAGAAAGGAGATTGAGGACACCTCAATCTATATCTCTGCAGCCTCAGCAGCACAGAATGAACGAACAAACAGGAATAGCTCTGTGTTACTGACAGTCAGAAATTTGTGCCACCCCTACCATCCTAGGCCATGGCAGAAATCGGACCCTGTTTTTTTTAAAAATCTTAGTCTATTCATCAGCTAATTCACAAAAGGGATACATGCAGTATCTTAACAAATGATGCTGTATTTTAAGTTCCTTTCACATTCCGTCAGCTCATTTTCGATAACATAGATCAAAAACAGACTACAGTTTATTTTTATGGGTGGCCAGATGTAAGGGGATGTCTGCCAGGTCTGTGGCTCATTGGACCAAATGGAAAAGGTTGCATGCAGGTCCGCTTTTACTAATGTGGGTGGCAGATCAGCTTACAACTGGCCACCCATTGGTATTACATTGGGCCCATTTGTTCTCCATTAAAAGATGGAGGAAAAATTAAGAATGGACACGGATGTCACATATATGATGACATCTGTTTGTGTTCTGATTGAACTCAGCAGAGGATCAATCTTGGATCCCCACTGAGATGAAACGGAGAGCGCCCATGAGAAAATACTCACTACCATAGTTCATGGAAATCATTACCAAGGTTAAAAACACCCAGAAACCACTGCTTCTTTTGGAAATCCTTAGCTGTATACATTCATAGTTAAAACAGGTTTGTTATTCCTGTCTATATTCACATTTATTTTTAATTGTGTATTCTATTTTTTGTTTTAAAATCCCACTTCATTTTTTTTTTTGCCTAATTTAAATGTTTTTTTAATACAGGGTGCTAACATTTTTACACCAAAACAGTTTGGATTTCTCTTGTATCCTTTCCATAAACTGTGATATCCTACATCATTTTAGAAACTTATAGACACAAATCATACAACAAATTATATTAACAATATGTGACAGTTTGAATGAAAAGGTTTCCATCTGGTGGTCATAAACAGTAGTGTAGTACCACTTGCCCTCCAGAGAATTAATCCCTCCCCCCTTCCTGACCAGGTCATTTTTTGCGATACGGCGCTGCGTTACTTTAACTGACAATTGCGTGGTCATGCAACGCTGCACCTAAATGAAATTTATGTCCTTTTTTTACTCACAAAATTTCTTTTGGTGGTATTTGATTACCTCTGCGTTTTTAATTTTTTTGCTCTACAAAAAAAAAGACCTACAATTTTGAAAAAAAAAACAGTCTTTTTGGCTTTTTGCTAAAAGACATAAATTTAGGTCGAAATGTATTCTGCTCCATGTCTCTGCTAGCAAAAATCCCAATCCGTGTAAATTAATCGCTTTACGTGAAAGTTATAGCGTCTACAAATGGCGGTATATATACTGGAATTTTTATATATAAGCGATTTATAGCGGGACTGAAAGACTGTGGCGGGCATTCTGACACTGGGGGGAACTGACTAACTGTCACTGACATTCCCAGTGACACTAATACAGTGATCAGTGCTAATAAAAAGCACCGACACTGCACTATTGACACTGGGCAGGAAGGGGTTAACATCTGGGGCGATCAAAGGGTTAACTGTGTGCTGTGTGTGTTTTTACTGTGTTTTCTGTGTTTGTTTTACTGTGTAAGCATGCTGCTTTGTATTGCTGTGCTATGCAGAGCAATACAAAGCAGTGTGCAGGAGCTGACAGGGGAGAGATCTGTATTGTTTACATACAGACCTCTCCCCCGTCAGTGATACTCGGCAATCGCCAGGTGCCGGCGGGGAATCACCGGCCGGGACCTGGTGATTGACAGCTTAGGCCGCCAATGGCGGCACGGGTATGGACGCGTGCACACCCCCTACTTAGGAATACAAAATCACACACATATATATATATATATATATACATGATTTTTCACAGCCCTGCTGCCCTGTAGCAGTAGTTCTGCTATAGGGCGGTCAGGAAGTGGTTCAAATGATTGTAAGCTCCAAGGAGCAGGGTTCTCCTATCCCTCTTGTATTGAACTGTATTGTTGCTGTATTGTCTCTCTTTATATTGTAAAGCGCTGAGCAAACTGTTGGCGCTATATAAATCCTGTATAATAATAATATAATGAGGAACTTCGCTTTCAATCTACATTTTTAATCCTTATGCTACTAACATTAGCAAATAGATAGAAAAGTATGTGATATTTGTATGTTTTAGTTTTTTTTTACATTTCTTCAGTGACTTCCTGGTTTTCAGGCCTAGTCGCATTAGTGTTTATTTACAAAAACTAGAATCTGGTGCTGCACAGAAACCAATCAGATTTCAGGTTTTATTACCAAACTTTAATTGAACAAGCTGATTGACGACTGTGCACAGCTGCACCAGATTCCAAGTGCTCAGGTTTAGTAAATCTCCCCCATGATGTTATACATCCCAGGAGCCTTCAGGAGGGGAGGGGGGGTTTTCTCAGCTAAGTAGGCACTCCTACCTGCATGTAGATGAAAGGAAGCCGGCAGCTCGATCTTCCACAATAAATTATATGAATGATGTGGTACAAAATAATACAGAGCTTACGCGTTTTGGCATGTAGCCTTAGTCATAAATATGGCTATGACTAAGGCTACACACCGAAATGCGTAAACCCTGTATTATTTTGTACTACATCTGGATTAATAAATTCATTTTTTGCGGAAGATTGAGCTTCCGGCTTCCTTTTATCTACATGTTTGATTGGGTGCTAGGAGGACAGTACTAGCCAGTGCTCACCACCTCGGTGATTTACAACAGGTGTTTTCTACTAAAGGGCAGATGGATTCCAGGAAGAAAGTACTATGTGTATAATTTGCCCTTACTCAAGATGGCCGCGGCCAGTGATTTCTCATCAAAATAAATAGGTGAGTTTGCGTTGAATATTAAAAATGAACTAAAGAGAGTTTATGGTTCGTGGTGCTCAGATGCAGTGTAGTTCCGCTTTAAGTGATTGCGTTATGGATGGCTACTGCGGTACAGCACTCCACCATCTTCCAGTTATCAAAATGTACATACAGGGCAAGGCAGCAGATTCACACTAATGCTGGCTGTACCCGCAGCACGAATTTAGGGTCACTTAGCCTCCCTTCTCTGCATCATTTTTGCTACTGGTATAGGGAAGCATGTGGTTCGCACCACTTCTTCTTATGTGCTATTGCTGGTACTTGGCAATTGGACGCTCAGGCGTCCATTGCGAGGCAGGGAGCCTCCTCTTTGCACTCCCAGTTGCCAAACGGAGGGGGAGGAGAGTGATGGCAACTACTGTATATACCGGTGGTTGGGCCACCATTAAAGTGAACCTGTTGATTTACCCTGCATCGGTAAAGTACAGTTTCACTTTAAAGCGGAGCTCCACCCAAAAGGGAAAGTTCCGCTTTAAGGACTGCTCCCCATTAAGGATTGGCACCTTTGGGGGGCGGGTACCCGAATTTGACAGGTACCCACTCCCACTTCTGGTCCGATCGCCTAGGCGATCGGAAGCGGAAGATGTTCTTCCTCCATCCCTCCCTGTAGTCTTTTGGGACACGTGACAGGTCCCAGAAGACTACAGGACCATTCAGGAAGCGCAGCGCTACTCGCGCATGCGCAGTGGGTACCCGGCTGTGAGGCCGCAAGCTGTGCAGCCGGGTGCCCACACTGAAGATGCCGGCCTCTTGGAATACAGGACGGCCAGTGAAACGGCTGTGGGGGACACACCGCGGGACAGGTAAGTGGCTGTTTTTTAAAAGTCAGCAGCTACAGTTTGTGTAGCTGCTGACTTGTATTTTTTGACAGGGTGAGTGGAACTCTGCTTTAAAGGAAATATAGAGGATGCCATTACTGATCTCACATTTTGAAAACGCCATGTTTTTTTTTTTTTACTTTGGTCAGTGAACTGGAACAAGTAAGCAGGCAAGGACTTATGACTTTTCTAACCTAGGTGCTTGTTCTAGGTCAGTGACCTGGAAGCCAAAAAGTCATAAACAGGCAAGCGACTAGCATTTTAAGAAGCAATAGCAGCCCCCCCTTATAATTTCTTTGCTAGGTTAATATTAAAAAAATCTGGTGACACCTGCACATTTCCATGAGTTGTTTTGCTGAAGAAAGCATGAGCCCGTGGTATTTTGCTGAAGAAAGCACAGGCCCGTGTTATTTTGCTGAAGAAACCACAGGCCCGTGTTATTTTGCTGAAGAAAGCACTGGCCCATGTTATTTTGCTGAAGAAAGCACTGGCCCATGTTATTTTGCTGAAGAAAGCACTGGCTCATGTTGTTTTGCTGAAGAAAGCACTGGCCCATGTTATTTTGCTGAAGAAAGCATGGGCCCATGTTTGGTAGCGGGGGTTGATTGCCCCTTGATGTTGGTCCCTCAATGTGTTCAGTATTGCAGTTGTGAACTCCTGCAAGTCTGGGTGCTCAGTGATAGCTTTCCTCCTAGGACGCCCTATCCCACCCTATTCTAGGTTCCCTTCAATGCAATGTTCACATCTTCACCGTGACTTACCTGGTCTCACTCCAGCCAACACAGGGAGGGGATGATGGGTGAATGCCATGCGAGAAGAACTGGTCTGGCAATACTCTAGCTTGCCTGACTTCTTAAGAGACCCGGGTCCTTGAAAGGAGCAGAAATATAGATCAGTGAGGTGATGAGAGCGGGGTATGTCATCTGGGGCAATCCCAGCCAAACCCCCAGAATATACACATTTCATTTAAATCCCCAAGGGCTGGCTATAAAAAGAGAAGGATCAGTCACAGGCACTTATTAAAAATGACAACTATGCTTGCCCTTCCTTCCATTCACAAAAGCCGCACTATCACTTTCCAACATTAAAAACGTTCTATGATTGGAGGAGACAGACGTTTCATTCATCCACGTATCCACCATTCATAGAATGATTTTCACTGCCGGAAGCAAAATTACAGCTTCTATGAATTGAGGAGACAGACGTTTCATTCGTATACCTATCCTCCAGTCATAGAATGCTTTTCACTGCCAGAAACAAAACTACAGCTTCTATGAATGGAGGAGACAGACGTTTAATTCATCCACCTATCCTCCCTTCATAGAATGCTTTTCACTGCCAGAAATAAAACTGCAGCTTCTATGATATGAGGAGACAGACGTTTCATTAGTCTACCTATCCTCCATTCATAGAATGCTTTTCACCGCCAGAAACAAAACTACAGCTTCTATGAATGGAGGAGACAGACGTTTCATTCGTCTACCTATCCTCCATTCATAGAATGCTTTTCACTGCCAGAAACAAAACTACAGCTTCTATGAATGGAGGAGACAGACGTTTCATTCGTCTACCTATCCTCCATTCATAGAATGCTTTTCACTGCCAGAAACAAAACTACAGCTTCTATGAATGGAGGAGACAGACGTTTCATTGTTCCGCCTGTCCTCCATTCCTTTTCAATGCAGGAAGTTATAGCATAGCTTCTATGAATGGAGCAGAGGCGATAAGAGTAGACATAGTCGGCACTTTTACCTGTGACAGGTCCAGCTGCTCATATTAGCAGCACCAGCACTGAAAGATGGGGGGGGGGGGTAGGGGGGCAGAGGGCTGAAGATTTCAAGGAACATGGCATTACCAGCACAAGGAACACTTTTTATTCATTGGCCAGCGTGGGATGACGTCACTTTTGCACATGAGCAGGATTCTGTCATCCCGGCACAGGGACCATGCTGGCGATGTAAGCTGAGCTGCGCATGCGCAGCTTAGTTTACATGCTAGAGAAGACAATGAGCAAGTACGTAGGTGTATTTTATTGCAAAAGAGAAATTGCATGTCTCTTCTGCAATAAAGATCTGCCTGCTCGCAGTTTTTGACAGCGGGACTTTCGTTTAGTTTTAAACTTTAAGTACATCTACAGCACATAGATACGTATACATAGATCTGCATAGATAGACAGAGATGTGAAACATTCGGTCTATGCACAGGGGAAGAAATGATTCATAAGGTACCAGATTGTCTGTTTTAAAAGAAATGTCCTAAGAAAAATTAAAATCATCAGCTACAAATTTCTTACCCGTGTCCACATCATTTGGCCACACGCTGGCCTGGCTGCCCCCAGCTGCAGGTGACCGGCCTGTACCCGGGTAGAAGACGTCATCCACTGGGCTCTCTAACTCACTGTCGTCCAAAGACTTAGGGCGCTTTGTCGTGCTGAGTGACAGACATGAACAAAGAGGCATCAGCACATACCATCATGTAAAGTACACACACGATATAAGTATATACTATATATGTGGGCAGCACAGCGGCTAAATGGTTAGCACTTCCGCCTGGCAGTACTAGGGCCATTGATTCAAATCCCAACCACAGCACCACCTGCCTGGAGTTCGCATGTTCTCCCTGTGCCTGCGTGGGTTTCCTCTGGGTACTTCAGTTTCTTCCCACACTCCAAAGACCTACTGGTAGGTGAATTGGATTCTGTTTAAATTGTCCCTAGTATGTGTATGTATGAATGTAAGTTAGGAACCTTAGATTGTACACCCCTTGAGGGTTAGGAACTGATGTGAATGTACAATATATATGTAAAGCGCTGCGTACATTGATGGCGCTATATAGTACCTGGAACAAACAAATATATATATATATTATATATAAAATATTTGATACAGAATGGTAATAATGGAACATCCATTGTTAAATATATCTGCCTTATGTCTTATAAAAAACATACAACTGCCATTGCAAGTGAACAATCTGAGAGTTTGGCCCAGGTACTAAAAGAGTCATGGAGGCATGGCGAAGGGACAACCATACTGGCTACTTAGTCCTAAGTGCATGTTCAGCTCTGTGTGCTGTATGTTTACCCCTGGGGCCTCACAATGCCTTTGGCTGTTGTGGTATAGGTGGCCGCCTGCATCCTAGCAACCAATGACAATGTGCGGGCCTGCCACCTGTGTCCTAGCAATCAACAATGCTGCGTGAACCAGCCATGGACATCTTAGCAACCATTGATGCTGTGCTGCCTGGCCCACCAGCGTCCCACTAACCAATAAAGCTGTGCAGGCCGACTGCCCCCATCTTAGCAACCAATGACAATGTGCGGGCCTGCCACCTGTGTCCTAGCAATAAACAATGCTGCGCGAAGCAGCCATGGACATCTTAGCAACCATTGATGCTGTGCTGCCTGGCCCACCAGCGTCCCACTAACCAATAAAGCTGTGTAGGCCGACTGCCCCCATCTTAGCAACCAATGACAGTCCCTCATCGTTGCTTACTAGGACGCCAGCAGTCTGGGCCGCAAGCAAAATGGCTGCCTCAGGTGATGCCACCCCTGACAGGGATATGTCTATATATCCAAATCTGATGAAGGTTGCACTGCCTAGGTCTGGTTAGGAAACAATTTACATGTCTGCTTTTTGTTTTGGTTTTTTTAAAGGGCATTTTCAAAAGTGTTTCTGGCTATTATTTACAGGTTTTTGTTAATAATTTTTTGGAAAATCTTTATTTTAATGCACCCAATGTAAATATATATTTAATATTTAATAGTTTCTAATCATGTAAATAATATACATTCATATATTTAGTCACATGGGTCTGATTTGTAAGGGCAAACCAACACTCCCCTGAAAACATGGGCTGCCTGCTATTTCTTCATATAGCCTGTTAAAAAAAAGAATGGGGGGCTTTTTCTAGTAGAATACAGCCAAAAGCTAAAAAAAATATGAAATTCATAAAGCTCAATAGAATATAAGAGAGACTCTCTCTCTCTCTCTCTCTCTCTCCCTCTCTCTATATATATATAAAAAGTGCAGAAACTTTTCGAAGACCCCTCATATGTACATAAATTACACCCACACAAATCGGGTCTGAGGAACTATAAGCGCTGCGACATTAAAAAAGTGCAGCTATCGATATTTGTTACTAGTGTGAGGTAATTAGTGTGACAAAGAAACAACGATTCGCAATGCGTTTTCCTGTTGAATGCGACATTTCAGTCAGAAATAAGATAATACCTACAATATTTCATGTTGTAGGCAGGGGCGGACTGACCATTTGGAAACTCGGGCACTGCCCGAGGGCCTGGGATCAGTAGGGGGCCCCATGATATGCCCCTGGTACCTTTTTCTTAGGCTTTTTTGAGTTTGGGCAAGGACACAGGGGCCCCATGATCCCCTATTGCCCCAGGGCCCCATGAGTTGTCAGTCCGCCCCTGGTTGTAGGTATTATTTAACATTTCATGTAATTGAAAAGATTATATATATTTTAAGGGCATTTGTGCCGCAAGCACAAGGTGGTGCAGGACTCCATGATAACTATGGTCACTGCACTATGATAGATTTGTACTAATTTGCACCTTTTTTTTTTTTGTACAGTTTGATGTGCAATTTCTCCCTCTGTACACCAATGGTTTATCAGGCCCATTGTATATATACTGTGTATGCTGTGTGCCTTGAGGGAGAGGACTACTTTGTTATACAGGGCGGGTCCAGGTCTGCCCGGTGATTACGAAAAGATCCTGAGCCTTGTGTCCTGGGATTGGTGGGGAGGTCTGTGCAGGTTCCCCTCAGCCAATCCCAGAAAAGCATCAGGAAGGAGGGAAACCCTGAGGTAACAGTGGTTAGCCATGAGGTGATCTCATTGATGGGGCTTCCTTGGTTCTCCTTCCATGAAAGTTGCTTAAAGACTAAGTTCATCTTTTTCCACAAAACAGCCAGTCAAGGTGCATCAAAGTCGCATCCAAGTCGCACCCATGCAAAGTTGCATCAAAGTCGCAATGGAAATCACACAACTTTGGAGTCACACAAGTGTGAATGGAGCCCAAAACATTTAGTAAGTGCAATATTACTCCTGCTAAAGGCTTAGGCATGCTTGTTAGGAAGCCGGCATCTGTTGTCGTCCTCCTTGCCCTGGCCATTTGCTTATCATCTGGGAGCCCCCTTATTTTTAAAAGAAGCATCCACATTCAAGCCCCCCCACCCAGAGACCCCTACAAACACCAGCCCAGGGTTGTTCGGAAGAGGCCCTTGTCTTCATCATGGGACTTCCATGGCAAGGCACCCTCCCTGTGTTGATGTTCTTTGGCCTGGAATGGTTTGGAAGGGGGGGCATCCACATTCAAGCCCCACACCCAGAGACCCCTACAAACACCAGCCCAGGGTTGTTCGGAAGAGGCCCTTGTCTTCATCATGGGACTTCCCTGGCAAGGCATCCTCCCTGTGTTGAGAGCCTGTGGCCTGGAATTGTTTGGAAGAGGGGAGGCATCCACATTCAAGCCCCCCCACCCAGAGACCCCTACAAACACCAGCCCAGGGTTGTTCAGAAGAGGCCCTTGTCTTCATCATGGGACTACCCTGGCAAGGCATCCTCCCTGTGTTGAGAGCCTGTGGCTTGGTATGGTTTGGGGGGGGGCCTCCACATTCAAGCCCCCCACCCAGAGACCCCTACAAACACCAGCCCAGGGTTGTTCGGAAGAGGCCCTTGTCTTCATCATGGGACTACCCTGGCAAGGCATCCTCCCTGTGTTGAGAGCCTGTGGCCTGGTATGGTTTGGAAGGGGGGGAGGCATCCACATTCAAGCCCCCCCAACCAGAGACCCCTACAAACACCAGCCCAGGGTTGTTCAGGAGAGGCCCTTGTCTTCATCATGGGACTACCCTGGCAAGGCACCCTCCCTGTGTTGAGAGCCTGTGGCCTGGTATGGTTTGGAGGGGGCACATGCTTATTCCCCCTTTCCTGGCCAGACAGACTTTATACTGGAATAAGGACGTGGTATGGGTTTTGTGGGTGGGAGCCGAACCTTTTTATTTTCTTGTTTTTGCGTGGTGTTAGGGGGAACACCACACATTTTTGGTGATGTTTTCCATTACCATCTATACCAGATCTTTATTTAGTACAAGGGCCTAGCACAGATAAAGGGAATCCCCCAGATACTTTGTTTACAAACAGAACAAAGCAGCCGGGAGCTTTCACTTACCAGCGATTTTAATGGCATTTTTGTTTTCTTTGTAAATGTCAGTTCTGCTGCAGTCGGTCTGTATATTGTACATCATACAGAGGTGCCACTTCACAGGCAGGTAGTAGGCACCCCTCGGCATGTTATTTAAAGGAATGTTACATTTTTAATGTTGCCCCGTAAGCATTTTTAAAACTGCTGCCGCCTGACAAACAGAATTTGTTTTTGCTTTGCATGTTCCCCGGGGCACTGCTTTGCTCCCCATACCATTTGTTTAACAGTCCTTTGCCTAATAATGTTTTTTTTTTACCTCCTATTACCATAGAGTAGGATTCACTAAATGGAGGACCGTGGGCCGGATGTAAACCGAGTCACTGTCCCATCCGGGTCAGCATTGGCACCATTTAGGAGTTAGTTCTGTCCCCCCAACTTCAGCCACTGTCATTATAACAGTAGAGCGGAGAGCGGGAGACAGGACAAATCGAGAGACAAAGTAGTGCTGCATGGAACGCGGGAGCTGCCCGGGATAACTTTGCAGACTGATGAGCAAGTGATTGGTTGCTAGGACACAAAGCAGTCCTAGCAACCAATCACCAGAACAGTAATACGCAAAGCTAACTTCGACAACTCCCGCCCTCCATGCAGTGCTACTGTGCCTCTTGATTTGTCCTGCCTCCCGCTCTTCGCTCTGTGTACGTGTCAGGTAGCAGAGTGAGGGGGGAAGAGGACCTGGCTCTGAAAGATGGGGGAGTGGGGGATGCTTGTGAACATACAGAGAGCTCTGCCTTGGGTGGGGGGGTGATGTAAAGGGGCAAAGCATGCTGCTGTGTGTGTGTGTGTGTGTGTGTGTGTGTGTGTGTGAGGAAGGGGGGATGTAAGCAATGTGTAGGGGGCAGAAAGGACTATGGGGGGAGGGTAATTTGAAGGAGGCAGAGCACATTACTTGTGTGTGTGTGGGGTGGGGGGGGGGTGATGTGAAGGGGGCAGAAAGAACTACTGGGGGGGGGTGATGTAAAGGGGCAAAGCACACTACTGTGTGTGTGGGGGAGGGGTGATGTGAAGGGGGCAAAAGGGACTACGGGGGGGGGGGGTGTAAAGGGACAAAGCACACTACTGTGTGTGTGTGGAGTGTGTGTGTGTGTGTGGGGGGTGATGTGAAGGGGAAAGAAAGGACCACTTTGGGGTGTTGTAAAGGAGCAGAGTACACTACTGTGGGTGGGAAGGGGGGGGGTGGGAGGGTGATGTGAAGGGGGCAGAGCACACTACTGTGTGTGGGGGCGTGGGGGGGGAATGGGGGGGTGATGTGAAGGAGGCAGAAAGGACCACTGGGGGGTGATGAAAAGGGGCAGTACACACTGCTATGTGTGGGTGTGTGTGGGGGGGATTGAGGGGTGATGTGAAAAGGGGCAGAAAGGACTACAGGGGGGTGTAAAGGGGCAAAGAACACTACTGTGGGAGGAAGGGAGGATGGGGGTGATGTGATGGGGGCATAAAGGACTACTGGGGGTGTAAAGGGGCAAAGCACACTACTGTGGGAGGAGGGGGGATGGGGGTAATGTGAAGGGGGCATAAAGGACTACTGGGGGTGTAAAGGGGAAGAGCTCATTACTGTGGGGGGAAGGGGGGGAATGGGGGGTGATGTGAAGGAGGCAGAAAGGACCACTAGGGGTGATGTAAAGGAGCAGAGCATGCTACTGTGGGGGGAAGGAGGGATGAGAGGGTGATGTGAAGTGGACAGAGCACACGCCTGTGTCTGTGTGTGGGGGGTGGATGGGGAGTGATGGGAAAGGGGCAAAAGTGACTACTGGGGGTAATAAGAAAAGTGGAGGGGAGTAAAAGGGAAGTGCACACTTTTGTATGTGTGTGTGTGTTGCGGGGGGGGGGGGGGTTGATGTGAAGGGAGAAAAAAGGACTATTGGGAGGTGATGTGAAGTGGGGGGGGGGGAGTAAAGGGGGGGAGAGCACACTAATTTATGTGTGTGTGTGTGTGTGTGTGTGTGTGTGTGTGTGTGTGGGGGGGGGGGGGGTGATGTGAAGGGGTAAGAAAGTACTACTGGGGAGGTGTGGGGGGGCCATGTATAGGGGCAGAGCATGCTACTGTAGGGGGAAGGGGGAAATGGAGGGTGATGTGAATAAGGAAGAGCACACTGCTATGGGGGGTGATCTGGGAGGGGCAGGGGACACTGCTGTGGGGTAATGATGTGAACGGGGGGATTCTGAACACTACTATGAAGGGGCTGAGGACAATGATGTAAGAACAGGATTGTGATATAGGAGGAGAGGGAGCCGTGATGTGAAGGACCTGAGTCATTGGACAAACATCACTAAGAAAGTGTTAGTGATCGGATCGCTGTGAATTTTAATTCAATACCCTGCAACAAAGTGTACACTTAGACAAAATTTATGTATCTATATTTCTTACTGTTTTTGTAAAAACTACCTTGGGAAGTGTTTTATATTCCATATATGTGACTTGTAAAGTTTATGACTTTAAGTAGGTCCAGGATTAGCGCAGGGCAAGACAGGTTAAGCCTGGTTGCTTAATCTTTCTGCCCCCCATGCGAACACACGTCTGGATATCACACTAGGTGCTGACCTATGGGTGCACCATCACATTTGTTCCTGCATATCTACAAGTAGATTGCATAGACCCAGTACATTAACCCCTTGTTCAAAGTTACTTACTAGGAATATCATCTGAGGAAAGCATCTAACAACAGTATTCTTCATGCTTTATATGGAAGGGAAATCTTTCACCATAGTAACTACTTCTTTAGTGTAACAATAGTTCATTGGTTTCTCTTACCTGCTGGATGGAGGAGACGTTAAGGACCGCCGACCAAGTGTCACCTGGTTTATATTGTAATAGCTTGGGCTCTCCAGATCCGCCAATGAGAAGTTAGGGCCAGATGCTGTTGCAACAGGTGCTAAAAAACAGAAAACAGGTATGAAATAAGGCTCTGGCATGTTCATTGTGGACAGTAAGGGGATGCTATGTTTTTGAAATGGAAAAAATTCAAAGTTGAATGCCCTATAACAATACAGTACTAGTTCATTAAGACGTATAGCCTAATATTCAGCATCCTTTCATATAAACACAAAGTGGAACTCCAGTCAGAAAACCTCCGTTAGGTTTTATTACTATCTGTGACCCTGTTGAGGACATTTCTTTTTCAGTGTCGTCATCAGGAAGAGAGAAAACTAAAGAAAAACTGGTTTTCCGCTTTATGTTTGGTTTGATAAAGCCTATAATTGTAAGAGTTGAATGCATCTCTATCTATTGGTTTTTCTCCTCTGATAAACTAGTGGGTAAAATGAGTCCTTGTTGTGGATCAATGACTTTATCTGTACAAGATGTCAGGTGTGATGAAATGCGTAGGGCGAAGTTGACGTCATTGTGTAACCGGAAGTCAACCAGTAAAGTGCTTGTATTTTCAGCGAAAGAGCTTTTGTTTGTAGTGCTGTTGTCTAATTTTGATGTGTGTGCATGGATGGTTTACACTATGTGGGGCTTTTGCCTTTCATCTTCTCATGAGCTGTTGTGATTGATTGCTGACTAAGGAGATCCCAGTTATATATGGTTGGAGTGGATCAGAGTCCTATCCGGCTTCCTGTGGACCCTGAAAGAGACAATTCCTGGGGAACATTACTGCTCTTGCTGTGCATGACTTCTCTTTAGTTAGAGCAACCTTTCTCAACCTTCTTAACACAGAGGAACCCATGAAATAACTTTCCGGTCTCAGGGAACCCCTGCTAAAAATGACCATATCTACAACTCATGAGACATTAGTGTGATGGTCAGTGGGAGGAATGCTTCTTACACCTGTGGTCAATAGGAAGATATACCCCCTTACAGATCAATGGTGTCAGTGGGAACTTATCTGAGAGGGAGAAATTGCTTATTGCTCAAGGAATCCATGGCAACCACTGGAGGAACCCTGTTTGAGAAACCTTGAGTTGGAGGGTCATCCCCATTCGGTAAGTCTGCATTTTGTTAAAATCTGGTGGAAGCTTTATACCTGTCTTCGAATACCCTTATCTTCAGGATCTCTTCTGGTGGATAGTTGTCTTTTCCCTTCACATTTTATTTTGGACATTCGCTTTTTAATGTATGGGAGTTTTTTATTTATATGAAGACTTTTTGTGCACATAGTTGAAACATTGCACATATTTGTATATGGCATATTATTGTCTTTTTTTTATTTCTCACTAGTTACATTGAATTATATCTAGGTGGATACATTTTTGGTTTACACTTTCAAGTGGTGGGAATTAGCGCAGACAATTGATTGAAATTGATTACTGATAGATATATTGGAGATGCCAATAATAATAATAATTACAAGGGGCACAGGATAGGCATGACAGCCTGGCAAAGACAGGCTCCATATTTCTTTAATGGCAGGTTTATTTTAAGGTTTTTGCTATTCTGAAATATGCCCTCCCAGCCTCTCACTGTTGACCTTTCCAATCCCAGTGGACAATTACTTCACCCTAGCCTCCCTAAGGATGGCCATAGTCAGTTAAGGGAATCCATCTTAGCACCTTCAAGCACCTCCATCTTTTGCTGGTCTCCAAACAAAAATGGTTGTATTGTGCAAACATACATTGTAGTCTTGGAAGACAAGCAGGGGAGGATTTCTATAGAAACATCCAACCCCAGGTTATTGTGAAAAAGACAGTAGCTTTTTGGGCAAGGTTTTCTAACCAGATGAGTGTGGCAGTTTCCCCATATACATTTGGGCAGCCATTTTAAACTGGGGTTCCATGGACGCCTAGGGTTCCTTGAGCTGGTTAACTGACTTCTCATGTAATAGTTATAGACCTCCCATCTGATAATGCCTGCATAGTTTTGAGGCTAATCCCATTTAGCAGAGCCAGTTGCATAACACCATTTTTTTCAGCTTTTTTCTTCACAGACACCCAATGAATTGGCAGACATAAAAAATATTTTAAGGGTTCCTGTATGGTAAAAATGTTGATAAAAGTTGTATTAGATTATTTACTAAAATCTATGTGCACCTTAGTTCCTTAAGAAAAAACCTCTACACAAAATCCAGTTACTCTAGGTCCTTTCTTCTTCTTAGTTCCAATCCTAAATACTTACTCTGTGACACACGGACGAGCTCTGTGACATTCCACACACCAGAGGTGACAAAGCAGTCCTGGAAGGTGAGATGTCCTGGGCAAATAGAAAAGAGACAGAATTATATAAATATACTTTAGGCCACCTTCACATATTTTGGACTTCAGAATGATAATTTATTATAGAGAATATAATAATAATAATAATAATATGGCAACAACCATGGATCACTAAACCAGTGACTTTCTAATGGTCTGTTTATAAAGCAGTAATTGTGACTTTCACCAAACATTCTCGTGTGTAGAATCAATCACTGTCCTTTAAAGCACATGGAACTGGAAGGTTCACCCACAGAGAATGTTTGTTAAATGAGAGATTTACTGTTTTATAAGTGGTAAATAAAGAACACCCTGTTTTTTTTTACTTTTCCGTTACATTCGTAAAACAAATTTGCCTTATGGATTCAGTGGGAAATCTCATAATTAGGAACACAGTCAATGTTAATTTAGCCATCAATTTTCTCGTAAAATGTGACTCCCTGGTTTCACCAACTAGTTCTTATGGGTAATTGTCCAGTCCCCAAATTGGAATTTTCAGTAAAACTAGGAATGTGTAGAGTGTCTTTGATGCAAAACTGCCAATTTTGCTCCACATAACTAAGCTCTTTAAGAGAAATTTTCTTTAAAAAATCTACTATTATTTTTCTTTCTTTATTTATAGGATTATTTTTTAATTTGATATATTTTGATATATTAGGTTAGATTAGTTTATATATGCTGGATTCACACCATTTCTATTGCATTTAGAGCCAGTTGGCATGCATTGACATACATTTTTTACATTGATGTTTAATTTTTTTCAATGCATTGCATAAAATAGGGTTTTTTGTTCACATCAGGAGCTATAATACATTATTTTTCTTTTCTAAATGTGCATTTCAGCACTTTCCCCAGCATTCCAATGTAACATAGTTACATAGCTAGTCTGGCTGAAAAAAGACAAAAGTCCATCCAGTTCAACCATAGAAAAAATAAAAAAAGTTATAATCCTATACCCACAGTTGATCCAGAGGAAGGCAAAAAAACCCAGCAAAGCATGATCCAATTTGCTCCTGCAGGGAAAAAAATTCCTTCCTGATCCCCCGAGAGGCAATCGGATATTCCCTGGATCAACTTTACATATAAATGTTAGTATCCAGTTATATTTTGTGTATCTAAGAAACAATCCAGGACTTTCCTACAGCAATCCATTGAGCTGGCCAGAACCAACTCTTGAGGGAGTCTATTCCACATTTTCACAGCTGTCACTGTGAAGAAACCTTTCTGTGTTTGGTGATTAAATTTCTTTTCCTCCAGACGTAAAGAGTGCCCCCTTGTCCTCTGTGATGACCTCAGAGTGAATAACTACACCGAGTTCACTATATGGACCACTGATGTATTTATACATACATGCTGGTATTAACTGACCCTATTGGAAACTATGGATTTTGGTATGTTTTTGCACTCAGCCTGTGTTGAGCAGTACACCCCAACATGCTTGGTGTGAGTGGGCCATCAGGTTGGATTCACACTTTACCTGTGCTGTGCATGGAGCAATGCACATGCCTAGGTGTGAACAGTTCCATATAGTTTCTATTTAAAAAATACACTAAATTTCTGTAATAGATATAAATCAGACCCATAGTAAAATATGTAATATGTAATAAAAATTGACAAGAAAAATTAGGCCCATGTTTTTAGCATTTGTATTACTATTCAGTTTTATGTGTATTTTATTATTTATTGTCAAATGAAATGTTTTTTTTTTTATCTGTTTTTCTTTCAGTGAAAAAAAAAATCAAATAACAAGGGGCCATTTTGGGGCAAAAGAACAGGTACAGCATAGTAAAAAGGAGCTTCTGTTCCCCCATGAGCCATATAAAGCTCACTGCAGTCTTAAAAACCACCTAATGTTCTCTTTTCTCTTTGACTCCAAAACGTTTCTTCAACATGAAAAATCTCACCAAAATCTCCCAATTTTCTCAATAAAATGAAAATTTTATTCAATCCATTCATGCACTGGTTGTCTATAGGGTTGATTTACTGAAACTACAGAGTGCAAAATCTGTTGCAGCACTGCATAGAAACCAATCATATTCCACGTTTTATTGCCACAGCCTAATTGATGGAAGAAACTGATTGGCTACCATGAACAGCTGCACCAGATTCTGAGTGCTCCAGTTTTAGTAAATTTTCCCCATATTCTTCCCAAAAGAAGGTGCAGACAGGTTTAATAACCTGCAATGGTCTATTCACAACTAAATAATATTTTGGCTGAAGTCGGGCTTTGAGAAGTTTCGTTTGTATGGGATTATTATTATACAGGATTTATATAGTGCCAACAGTTTGCTCAGCGCTTTACAATATAAGGGAGACAATACAGCAACAATACAGTTCAATACAAGAGGGAAGGAGGGCCTGATCCTGGGAGCTTACAATCTAGCAGATGAACACAGAACAGAAACTCTAGACTTCTTGTGTAGACTTCTACAACTACTACTGGTAGTCTTTAGTGCCTGGATATTTCAGTCTGAAATTAATTTTGCAAGATTTTCTGTATTAAAGTTATGTAAAACTAAAGAATGTGTGGAGAAAACCTACACAGCTAAAACAGGAAAAGAGAAAACACATGAGGAACTGATAGCGTAGCTTTTTGGAAATACAAGATCAAAATATGGAAAAAACTGTAGGCCTTTATTATAATAGGTTTCTCATAAATTTGGCAAACACTTGAACAGACACATGTGAAAGTTTTTAGATTGTCTTTCTAGCAATCTTTTTGTGCTCTAAAATTTATTTACATTTTTTAAAGGAAAAATAAAACACACCAACATGAAAATCTAAAAAAAAAACCACATCACCCCTGTGTTACAAACATTTCCATAGTCTCCTCCAATTCTGTATCAGACCAAAAGTCACCGCTTATCTTCAAGCAGTTTAGTTAAAACTGAACTAGAACCAGCTTAAAGTGGTTCTAAAGGCAGAAGTTTTTTTTTTTTTCACCTTCATGTATTTTATACATGAAGGTAAAAAACTTTCTGCAAGCAGCAACCCCCCCCCAGCCCCCTAAATACTTACCTCAGCCTTATCTCGATTCAACGATGTGCACAAGAGCCTCGGCTCCCTCTGCTCTCTCCCTCTTCATAGGCACAGACACAGCAGTGGGAGCCATGGGCTCCTGCTACTGTCAATCACAGCCAGTGATGAGGGAGTGGGGTCAGGGCCGAGCCATGCTCTGTGTGTCTTACAGACACACAGATCCGGCTTGAGAATGAGCCCACCCGCATGAGTGCCCCCATAGCAAGCGGCTTGCTATGAGGGCACTCGGCAGGTGGAAAGAGCCAGGAGCTCCGGCAGGGGACCCCAGAAAAGCAGGATAGGGGCTGCTCTGTGCAAAACCATTACACAAAGCAGCTAAGCATAGCATATTTGTTATTTTTGCAAAATAAAACTTGAGCTTTTAGAACCACTTTAACAAAAAAAGTCATTATTGACTTCCTCTTCCCCTTGCTCCTTTGCAATCTGAAGTTTTTTTTTTAAGTTTCTAATGTACATTAAAACTTAGTTTAATCCGCAGTTGTATTAAAAAAGCGCACCCTTATATGGCAACATTGAAAGAAACCATTCAAAATACTATATGATTGAATTAAAAAAAAATCTAGACAATTGTATTTAAGGCTTAGTTCACATCTACAGATGTGACCAAGCATGGGGGGGGTGTTGCTCATGTGTTTCTGTGTGTCCTGCATCACATTCACAAAGAATTGAACCTAACCTAAGTTATTCTTATGTTCCTTAAAGCTCAGATCCAGATAAAAACCTTTTTATTGTTATAAATAAAGTGAAGAAGGGTGAGAACTTCTGTGAGGTTTAAAATGCTGATTGCGTCCCTGTTTGAAAAGCTTCCACTTCCTTTTCTGTCTGACATCTGTCACTTGGTTAGGATGTGAGCATTGACTCTTATAACAGTGGTTCTAAACCTTCCTCACTCTAACAAAAAAATATATTTTATTGCTATTTGTATACCCGTTATCTTCCACCCATCATATAGACAGAAAGTGAGGAGAAATCTCCCAAACAGGAAATAGAGACCAGTGATCCAGCGCTGCAGTCTATGTCTTGTACCAGATGGTCCCCTCATCCTGATGTCATCACTGTGTAGTCTTCTGTAGCCTGAGATGATCCCTGAACCCAAAGAAGGACCAGATGTGGGAATCTGAAGAAGGATCCTTCCACTCTGCAGTCTAGACCAGCCTTTCTTAACCCTTTTCAGCATGGAGGAACCCTGAAAATAACTTTCAAGTCTGAGGGAACCCCTGATAATAATTATTGTATCTACAGATCATGAGACATTAGCATGAATAATAAGCTGTAGATAAAAGAATAATTTAAAAAAATGAGTAATGTGGCATACTTTGAGTAACTTACACCCAGGGCTGCTGTATACAACTATATTACTTACTTTTTACAAATTTTTATAATAATTGTGAAAAATGCACTGGTGACCTAAAGAAAAGTGACCCCTTACATTGATGGAAAAGATTAAAAGTCCTGGAAGTCACACATCTCTGCAAAACCCTGTGAGAAGTTGTATGTGACAGCCTCAGTCCGGGCTCCAACCAGGCCACGCCCCCAATGCACTTTGCTTCGCTGGTGACAAAAAGTACATTGGGGGTGGGGCCTGCTTGTAGTCGGGGCTGAGGTTGTCACAAACAACTTTTCACAGGGTTTTGCAGAGATGTGTGACTTTCAGGACTTTTACCCTTTTCCACTAGATGTCTAGAACTGGAATGAGTTCTGTCCTTGTCTGCACTCCAAGTGGATGCTATACAAGAGGACCTAGTGGAACCTTGAGCATAGTTACATAGGTAGTCTGGCTGAAAAAAGACAAAAGTCCATCCAGTTCAACCATTAAAAAAGAAGAAGTTATAATCCTATACCCATAGTTGACCCAGAGGAAGGCAAAAAAACCAGCAAAGCATGGTCTAATTAGCTCCTGCAGGGAAACAAATTCCTTCCTGATCCCCCGAGAGGCAATCGGATATTCCCTGGATCAACT